TCCAGGGATCCAGAGGTAGCCACAGCTTCTCTGGGCACCCTATGCCAGGGCCTGCCCACCTTCACAGGGAACAATTTCCTTTCATATCCAATTTAAATCGACTCTCTTTCAGCTTTAAGCCATTCCTCCTTGTCCTGTCCCTCCAGGCTCTTATCTGAACTCCCTCTCCAGCCCTTTTGGAGCCCCTTTAGCTGTTGTTTCGTCATGAGAAAAACCCCAACTTTACACATTGCTTGGCCAGACAACACCACAACCCCCTCAGCTGCTCAGACTCCTGGGAAGCAGGAGGATTGTGCCAGGAGGTCCCAAAATCCCACTGCAGCCCAGGCCCTGGTGCTTCACAGAGGACACTGAAAGCCTCCATCCCTGAGAGCTCGTGTCCAGCGGTTCCTGTCACAGGGACAGGGCTGGGAATGGTTTATTTTTAGCCTTCAGCATCTTTCATTTCCGTAGCAGCAGCAGCCAATGCTCCCTTCCACAGAACACCTCCTCGCCTGCCTCTCCAACGACTGCAAAACCAGACTGCTGGGACAGAATGCAGGGCTCTGGCTGCTCCTGAGGACAAATCCCACCCGAGCAAGGAAGCAGAGAGGTACCACACACAGGCTGTGGCACTTTGGGTGCTTTGCCAATGCAGGAAAACAGGGAAAACGGGAGAAGCAGAGAGACTTTTGCCACGTGCCCCAGCAGGATCTGTGCAGTGATCCACGCTCCCAGTGAGGTGTGAGACAACAAACACACACCACAAGTGCAGCCAGCAACACAAGCAATCAGCTCTCCAGAGCTTTTCCAGAGCTTTTCATCTTCTCCAGCCAACAGCAGGGAGATGAATGTTGCTCTCCAGTTTTAAACTCCCACGTGGTGAAGAGCACCTATTTATACAAATTTTAAAACAGATAAACGGCCAAGCTTGGCCTGGAAGTCACTCTCTGTATCCATGTGCTCCTTGAATGCCTCCAAGAAGTGGCACTTCTCCCCTGTAGGACCATCAGTCCTGGGGGGTCTCACCCTGGCAGGTTCAGCAGCTGGAAGGATTCCACCAAATGAGCCCAAATTTGGCACACAAGGGAAAACACAGGAAGTATGCCAAGAGAGAAGGAAGAGGCCAGCTGAGCTGCAGAGGAACAGAGCTCAGTGCTCAGCTGGTTTTCCCAAGCACGACTTCACGTAGGGGACAAATAAAGCTGTGACCATCCTCCTCCTTTCTTCCCAAAATCCACCAAACTGCTTGAAAACTTTTTTTAACCTTCTCTACCCATTTTTATTTCTTTAATCTTCTGCAAGAAGAAAAGCAGATTTAAACCTGCAATTGTGTATCTATTTTTATGTTATCAAAGATTTTAAAAAATGGTGTAAGAGGGGACAGAAGCCAGGCCACTGTAGGGAATTATCCCATAGGAACATATTCCAGGAGTTGGACTTTGAAGATCCTTGTGGGTCCCTTCCAACTCAGGATATTGCATGACTCTATGATATCAAGGAGCACAGAGCAGTGAAAAGCAGCACAGTGCCCTTTTCCCAAGCGTGGGAGCAGGATCACATCACATCCAGGCTCACTTAAGCTAAGCTGTTCCGACTCCAACACTTCCACATGGGAGCAGATTCTTTTTATAGAGACCTGCATGGCACAAGCACTTCTCATGGGGATGTGTTAAGGGATAAAGGTGCAGCAGCAGGATGTGCCCCCACAAACTGCCAGCACAGGAATGCACAAATCCCACACAGGGATTTCAAGCACCTCTGCTGGTTTACATCAAACCAGCAGTTCCATAAATAAATCAATTTGTAAATTAAGACTACTCCTAATGGTATAATGGTCTATTATATGGTAGAATGGCAATGATATATTTTGAACTCAGAAATCAAATAGTGGAGTTTATGTACCTGCCCCGTGGGACAAAGGGCTCACCAGTTATTTCCTTTACAAGGCAAAGGGAAAACAGCAGAAATATTTGAAGGATGGTGTCTTGAATGTCAAACAAAACTCTTAATTCCCTCTGTACCCATGAGGATGCCTGACTTCATACTGGTGTTTTAGTTACTTTACAAATTCGTCCTTCCTAAAACTCCAGAAACTGTAAATCTTCATGGAAACACCTTGGACCAAATTGCCAACATTAACCTCACTACATTAAAGCTGAAAGAATTAGGATTGTTCAGCCTGGAGAGGAGAAGGCTCCAGGGAGAGCTCAGAGCCCATTCCAATGCCTAAAGGGGCTCCAGGAGAGCTGGAGAGGGACTGGGGACAAGGGATGGAGGGACAGGACACAGGGAATGGCTTCCACTGCCAGAGGGCAGGGCTGGATGGGATATTGGGAAGGAATTGTTCCCTGGCAGGGTGGGCAGGTCCTGGCACAGGGTGCCCAGAGCAGCTGTGGCTGCCCCTGGATCCCTGGCAGTGTCCAAGGCCAGGTTGGACATTGGGGCTTGGAGCAGCCTGGGACAGTGGGAGGTGTCCCTGCCCAGGGCAGGGGTGGCACTGGATGGGTTTTAAGGTCCCTTTCCACCCAGGCCATTCCATTCTATTATTAAAGATTTTGTTCCCCCCCAGTGTGACCCTGTGACACACCAGGCCTGACACCACAGGCCCATGACAGAGAGAAGCTCCAGCTCCTCACCACAATCCTACAGACGTGTCACTGCCTCCCTGCAGCATCCACAGGGATTCCTCCCTAAAGCTCTCAGTCTCCACTGCCTGCAGAATGTGATTCTCACAGCCATTAAGCCTGTTCAGGTATTGTGCACTTGGAAATCAATTGTACAAATCCTGATGGGATCAATCCTGTTCTCACAGCGTGTGCTTTGTGCTTAAATTAACCTATCACATTCCAAAAATGGGGAATACCAGCTATGGGCAGCCAGAGGTTTCATTCCTGCACTGCCAAGGCTCCTCAGGGCTGCAGTTGTGCAGCAGAACTCAATCCAACCCAGTAATTACAGACCTTATCTGTGCTGGGACACAGAGCTGCAGCCTCTCAAGGTACTTACAAGGGACAATTCCAGGCTGGATGTCTGCAGCTGTAAGGAGGAAAAAATGGGCTTGTTACAGAGCAACAAAGCACAAATTTCCAGACTTTTACCAGTCAACTTTCAAATTTAAAACTAAATTTTCACGGAGCTTGCATCCATAGGTTTTTCCACTTTGAAGTAGAAATTTTTACTTCCTTCCTTGTGGTGAAAAGGAAGAGGACAGAGAGGGAGAGGCAGATGCCTCACCCAATGCATACTCAATGTTTACCCACAAAAAAATACAAGTTCCTGGGAAAACAGTTCCAGGACAGCACCCAGCTGGGACATCCCAGAGACTACACAGGCAAAAAAATAGGAAAATTCCTGTCCATCAGCTCCTAAGCCAATCCCAGTCCTAAAAGGATCAGAAACACCACTGGGTCTCTGCCTCCCAAGTGTTCCAGCAAAACACTGTACTTAAAACAAGCTTTAACAGATAAAAGCCTGATAGAGAAGTAAAGCACAGCTTAATCCCATAAATTTGGCTTGCCAATCCTCAGGCTGTCCCAGTGTCAGGCAGCTCCTCCCTCAATTCAGAGTGGAAGTGGATGGTCTGTCAAACAGCCTGAAGGGTTCAGACACAGAAATCACCAGGGCTCCCTTGGCACTGACAGGACAAGCTAAACACAGGACATGGCTTTTCCTCATCCCCCATCAGCACCCAGAGAGCTGAAGGCAAACTCACAAAAAGTGTCAAAAACAATCATAAAATGGTCCATGAAATGTGTCTGGAAGGCACCTCAGGAGGCCTCAGGTCCAGTCTTCTGCTCTGAGCATCTGCATCCAGACAAGGTTGCTCATGACCCTGCCTATCCACAGCTGGAATAGCCATGAATTTCCTGCACCTCTCCAGACCCCTATCCCAGTATTCAGTCCTCAATCCCAAGCCAACATGCTTCCATGTGTCTGTGCAGGATTTCCCATGTGCTCTCCCAGCCCTGTGCCTCACCCTGCCACGAGCAGAGCCAGGCTCTGTCCTCTCTCCACCATGGAGCTGTGGGTCTCCTGTCCTCTGCTCCAGCCTCATCCTGACAGGCCCCAAACCGGGCCCTCCTCTGAGCAGAGGGGACAGTCCCTTCCCTCAACACTTCTGCTAAACAGCCAAAGCCACCACTGACCTGTGGTGACTCCTGGTCACCTTCTTGTCCCCAGGGGCTCCTCTGCAAAGCTGCTTCAAGCAGCAACCTCAGGGCAGGGCTGGTGTTTGCCTCTGCTGAAGATCACGGGGTTCCCATCACGCTGCTGCTCCAGCCTGTCAGGTCCCTCTGAAATCCAGACCTGTGACCTCTCTGCTCCACTTGGCATCACCCACAGCCTAGCTGCAATGGCACTCACCCATTAATAACCACATTACACAGCAAATAGTGCAACTAATGAACTGTGATCTTATCACAGCTACCAAAACCCAATCAAATTATACATGCTCCTAATCAATGTCTGGGAGGATACAGCTAACTGGAGCACCACCACCACCCCAGCTCCCAAAGGGAGTCCTGCATGCTGTGTACAATTCCATGTGGGAGATGGTAATGTGCCATGTGTGCCAAATGCAAATTATGCAGTATTAAGATGATTGTCACCTTTGTACCGTCACAAAATGGCTTTTAGTTTGAGCACTCTCTTCCTCCTGCTTAAAAAATTCCATCCCAGCAGTGATGCAAACAAAGCCAGGAAGCCTCAAGCAGACTCTCCCCAGCACAGACCCAACTGACAAGGAATGGAGAACACTGCTGGGGTAAAATATAGCCATGGAGTAGTTCCACCTGACCACACACTATAAACCTGCAGGGCCTTCTGCTCCACAAGCCCCGCTGGGAAACACCACGGTGGCAATTTGGGAATAATAAACAGCAGATAAACAGCACCCAGCATCAGCCACAGGAATGTGCATGCTTGGAAACAGAAAAGATGGAAGGTCTCAGTCTTCCAAGAACAAGGGATGGGGCTACTGGAAATTACAGCCCCGACATCAGGCACCATCTGAGCGTTCCTGGACAAAGCCTGCCAAAAGGGCTGCAAACCAAAAGCTGAAACTGAACACAGAACCACAGCATCATGGAATCTCCTGAGTAGGGAGGGACCCACAAGGATCATTGAATCCCACTCCTGTCCCTGCACAGACAACCCAACAATCCCA